CCTCCTGAGTAGCTAGGATTACAGGTGCCCACCACCATACCTGGCTAATTTTTTGTATTTTTAATAGAGACGGGGTTTCACTACGTTGGCCGAGGTCGAACTCCTGACCTTGTGGTGATCTGTCCGCCTTGGCCTCCCAAAGTGCTGAGATTACAGGCGTGAGCCACCGTGCCTGGCCCTTACATACTATTTAAAAGATTTCTTTAAACTTTCAAGGTCAAATTTTGATATACAGAAGTGGGAAGGGGAGCTGAGGGGGCATTTGTGCCAGAGTTCCTAAAACTGGCTGTGAATCAGAATTTCTGGGGAGAGTTGTGGTATGGGTGTTTACCCAGGATGTAATTTCCAAGGCTCACCCCAAATATACTGAATTAGAATCCACAGAGGTGAAGTCTCAGCATCTGCATTTTAATTACATTCCCTAGGTTAGTCTGATGTAGCTTGTCAGAGAACCAGCATTTGGGAGCCATTGACTCCAGTGGCTTCTCATCACAATTAGAATAAAATAAAAACTCCTTGCCAGAGCCTACAGCGCCCTGTGTAATGTTGACCTGGCTTTATCTCTAATCTCTTTCCCTTGTTTGTGCCCCTCTTCCCCTTGCTTACTATGCTTCAGCATGCTCGTCTTCTTTCTTTTCCTAAAACAAGCCAAGTACATTCCCACCATTGGGCCTTTGCACTTGCTTTTTCCTCTGCTGGGAGTACCCTGCCCCTAGATATTCGCATAGATGATTCATTCTGGCCTTAGGTCAAATGTCTCTTTCTCAGGGATGCCTCTTGACACTACCAGTCTGAAGTCCCCTACACCCCACCATTGTCTGTCATCTGGTTCTGATTTATTCACAGCACTTGTCACTAACTGAAATTATTTTATTTTACATTTTTCTTCTCCAGAATGTAAACTGCTTGCAGGCAGGGGCCTTGCCAGTCTTGTGCACTCTTACCTCTCCAACACTAGAATAGTGCCTGGTCCTTAATGTTCAGGAGATGGTTGTTTTGAGACAAGCCTGCTGTAGCCAACCAGTGAGCCCATGTAATCTCAGAATCCAGTCAAGGAAAGGACAGAAATTGCTCAGCTGATCAGGCTTGTGGATAACACTCATTTCCTGTAATTCTCTTTTTCTTCCCGTTTAGCTGAGTCTACCTCAGGACGAGGCCAGTGCCTGAAACGCATCCGCTACCATGGCAGAGGTTACTTTGGGATCATGGAGAAGGTTTATTGCCATTATTTTGTGAAGCTGGTGGAAGGGCCCCCACCTCCACCTGAGCCACCAAAGACGGCAGTTGACCATGCCAAAGAGTATATTCAGCAGCTTCGCAACCGGACCATCATTCACACTCTATGATGAGGAGATTCAGACTCCACAGTGTATATATTTTGCCATTTATTTTCTAAAAATAAACACAAATTGAAGACAAATGCTTTTTATGATTTCTCATTGAATTATTGAAACAGTGTATAACTGCTAGTTGTATATGAATATTTATAAGGCTTTGCCCATTTCTTTTGAGCCTCTGGGCATATTTGTATGCATTTGCGACTTGGGAAGGCAAGTCAGCTTTAAACATAGTAACAAACTGTATTTCAAAAGGCTTTTTGAGTAACTTTGAAAGGGAATGTTAACTTTCCAACTAGTGTCCTGCAGGTGGCTGTTTTGATACTGGACTTGAGTAGTGTGTTATGAGGTAAGAAAATTGTTTTTATTTCACTTAATTTTCTCTTGGGAACATGGGAAGTTAGAGTGGCTGCATGTTGTTTCATTACAGTATTTTAGGGCTTTCAGTGGTACTGTTTTTCCTTTCACTGTTGGCACAGGTGAGTGAGTCAAGAATTATATTTTCCTTTACTGTTTTAGCAGTAACTTTACAGGAGTTTATTAGATATACGAATCTAAAACTCCAAAAACCTTTAACTTTGAAAATTTTCTTTTGGTTAAGTAAAGCCTGTTTTTATTTCTTCTTCTAACAGTGCTTTATATTGTTTGGATATCTTGTTTAGGATTGATTTATTTTTCAGGGTAAATTCAATTACTGAGAGAGGAATTGAACCAATCTCAGCATTGCATTCTAAAATGAGGCAGTAGGTGGCACTCAACCTTTTATTAGCAGAAAATTGTTAGTTTCAAATTAGAGTGTTCAACACTACTTCCCTCTCATTCATACACGTCTTCATTAAGAAGAAGCACTCTTTGTCTACAGCCCTAGTCCAGTGTTTGTCAAACTTTTGTATGCAAAAGAAGAATCAAGGATGCTTGCTTGTTAATGCAGACTTCTGGGCCCCACCCCCAATGATTCAATTCACTAGGTCTTATGAGGGGCTGGTTTCAGAAATCTTATGTTGTAAACAAACACTTCCAGGTAATTCTGTTGTAGGGGACTACACTTTGAGAATAGGCTCTAGGAGAATGAAGAATGTAGTTTTAGTGCCATGTTTTAAGGTGGCGTTAATAATAGTTACTGTTTACTGGGAACTTAATATTTGCAAGGTCTGTGCTAGTGTTTTACGTAATTCTTCACAACATCCTGCAAATGCAGGTGTTGTTTTGCCACTTTACAAAGGAAGAAACTGAAGCACACAGAATTCAAATAACGATCACAAGTCACACAGCATGTAAATATCAGAGCTATGATTTAAAGTAGGTTTCTAGCTGGGCGCAGTGGCTCACGCCTGTAATTCTAGCACTTTGGGAGGCCGAGGCGGGCGGATCACGAGGTCAGGCGATCGAGACCATCCTGGCAAACACGGTGAAACCCCGTCTCTATTAAAAATATAAAAGATTAGCCGGGCGTGGTGGTGCGCACCTGCAGTCCCAGCTACTCGGGAGGCTGAGGCAGGAGAATGGTGTGAACCCGGGAGGCGGAGCTTGCAGTGAGCGGAGATCGTGCCACTGCACTCTAGCCTGGGTGACAGAGCGAGACCCCGTCTCAAAAAAAAAAAAAATAAATAATAAAGTAGGTTGTGATCGTTGCTGTGGTTCTG